AATGGGGAAAAGCAAGAAAAGGGAAGAGGGGAAGAAGAGTGGGAAAAAAAGCAAGAAAAGGAAAAGGGTAGGAAAAAGAGAGGGTGAATGAATGGCAGGCAGGTGGAAAGCAAGAAAAGGAAGAGGGTAGAAGAAGAGAGGGGGGGAATGAATGCAGGCAGGTAGCGGCAGCAATGTGGGAAAAAAGCAAAGAAGAAGAGGGTGAATGGAAAAGGAGGTGGGAAAAAGGGTAGGAAGAAGAGAGAGGGTGAATGAATGGCAGGGCAGGAAGAAGAGGAGGGTGAAAAAGGTGGGCAAAAGCAAGAAAAGGAAGAGGGTAGGAAAAAGGATGAGAGGTGGGAAAAAGTGAAAGGGAAATGAATGAAGCAGGCAGGTGGGAAAAAAAAGCAAGAAAAGAGGGGAAAAGGTAGGAAGAGAAAAGGAAGAGAATGAATGAATGGCAGGTGGGAAAAGTGGGAAAAAAGCAAGAAGGGGAAAAAAGGGTAGGGAAGAAGGAGAGGGTGAATGAATGGCAGGCAGATTGGGAAAAAAAGCAAGAAAAGGAAGATTAGGAGGAAAAGAAAATGAATGGCAGGGAAAAAGGTGGAAAAGGAAAAGAAGAAAGGAAAAGGCAGGAAAAAGAGGAAGAAGAGAGAGGGTGAATGAATGGCAGGCAGGTGGGGGAAAAGCAAAGAGAAAGGAAAGGGTAGGGGAAGAAGAGAGAGGGTGAATGAATGGCAGGTGGGAAAAAAGCAAGAAAAGGGGAAAAGGGTAGGAAGAAGAGAGAGAGGGTGAATGAATGGCAGGCAGGTGCAAGAAAAAGGAAGAGGGTAGGGAAGAGAGGAGGATGAATGGCAGGCAGGTGGGAAAAGAAAGGAAGAGGGTAGGGAAGAAGAGAGAGGTGAATGAATGGCAGGCAGGCAGGGGTGGGGCAAGAAAAGGAGCAAAGAAGAGAGAGGGTGAAAAAGGGCAGGCAGGTGGGAAAAAGCAAGAAAAGGGTAGGGAAGAGAAGAATGGCAGGGGTGAATGAATGAATGAATGGCAGGTGGGAAAAAGCAAGAAAGGGAAAAGGGTAGGAAGAAGAGAGGGAAAAAGGCAGGTGGGAAAAAGCAAGAAAAGGAAGAGGGTAGGAAGAAGAGAGAGGGTGAATGAATGGCAGGTGGGTGAAAAAAAAAAAGGGCAAAGAGGGTAGGTGGGAAAAAAGGAAAAGAAGAGAGGTGAATGAATGGCAGGCAGAAAGGGAAAGCAAGAAGAAGAGAGATTGGTGGAAAAAATAAGAAAGGGAAGAATATGAATGGCAGGCAGGTGGGAAAAGCAAGAAAGGGAAAAGGGTGGGGAAGAAAGCAGGTGCAGGCGGGAAAGGGCAGGGAAGAAAGGGTGAAATGAAAGGCAGGCAGGGAAAAAAAGCAAGAAAAGGAAGAGGGTAGGAAGAAGAGAGGGTGAATGAATGGTAGCAGGTGGGCAGGTGGGAAAAAGCAAAAGAAAAGGAATGAAGGGTAGGAAGAAGAGGGAGAAGGTGAATGAATGGCAGGCAGGTGGGAAGAAAAGCAAGAAGAAAAAGGGAAGAGGGTAGGAAGAAGAGAGAGGGTGAATGAATGGCAAGAAAAGGCAGGTGGGAAAAGAAAGGGAAAAGGGGTAGGAAGAAGAGAGAGGTGAATGAATGGCAGGCATGTGGGAAAAGCAAGAAAAGGGAAGAGGGTAGGAAGAAGAGAGAGGTGAATGAATGGCAGGCAGGTGGGAAAAAAGCAAGAAAGGGGAAAGAGGTGAATGAATGGTAGGAAGAAGAGAGAGGGTGAATGAATGGGAAAAAAAAAAGCAGGAAGAGGGTGGGAAGAAAAAGGTGAATGAATGGCAGGTAGGAAAAGAAAAATAGAAAAGCAGGCAGGGAAAAAGGGAAAAAGGAAGAAGAGAGAGATTGAATGAATGGAGGATAGCAGGCAGGGTGGGAAGAAGAAAAAAGCAAGGTGGGAAAAGGAAAGGGAAAAGGGTAGGAAGAAGAGAGAGGGTGAATGAATGGCAGGCAGGTGGGGGAAAAAAAGGGCAAAGAAAAGAAAAGAAGAGGGTAACAAATGGCAGGCAGGGAAAAAGGAAGAAGAAGAAGAGAGAGGTGAATGAATGGCTGGCAGGTGGGAAAAAGGAAGAAAAGAAGGAAGAGGGAATAGGTGGGGAAGAAAAGAGAGAGGGTGAATGAATGGCAGGCAGGTGGGGAGAAAAAAGCAAGAAAGGGTAGGAAGAAGAGAGGCAGGTGGAAAAAGCAAGTGAATGAATGGCAGGCAGGTGGGAAAAAGCAAGAAAGGGTAGGAAGAAGAGAGAGGGTGAATGAATGGCAGGCAGGTGGGAAAAAAGCAAGAAAAGAAAAGGAAAATAGGTAAAGCAAGAAAGGGAAGAGGGTAGGGAAGAAGAGAGAGGATGAATGGCAGGCAGGTGGGAAAAAAAAAGGCAAGAAAAGAAGAGAGAGTGGTGGCAGGGAAAGCAAGAAAGGGAAGAAGAAGAGAGAGGGTGAAATGAATGGCAAGAAAGGGTAGGGAAGAAGAGAGAGGGGAAAAGCAAGAAAAGGAAGAGGGAAGGAAGAGAGAGAGGTGAATGAATGGCAGGCAGGTGGGAAAAAAAAGCAGGCAGGTGGGAAAAGAAGAAACGGGAAGAGGTAGGAAGAGAGAGGTGAATGGCAGGGATGAAAAGGGTAGGAAGAAGAGCAGGAAAGGGGTGGGAAAAAGGGTAGGGAAGAAAAGAGGGAAGCAGGCAGGTGGGAAAAGGAAAAGAAGAAGAGGATGAGAAAAGCAAGAAAAGGGTGAATGAATGGCAGGCAGGGTGGGAAAAGCAATGAAAAGGTGGGAAAAAGAAGAGGGTAGGGAAGAAGAGAGAGGGGAATGAATGAATGGAAAAAGCAGGCAGGTGGGAAAAAAGCAAAGAAAAGGAAGATTAGGAAGAAGAGAAGAAGAGAGGGGTGAATGAATGGCAGGCAGGGTGGGAAAAAAGAGGTGGGAAAAAGAAAGAAAAGGGAAGAAGAGAGGGGTGGAATGAATGGCAGGGGAAAAGCAAGAAAGGGTAGGGAAGAGAGAAGCAAGGTGGGAAAAAAGCAAGAAAAGGAAGAGGGTAGGAAGAAGAGAGAGGTGAATGAATGGCAGGCAGGTGGGAAAAGCAAGAAAAAAAGCAAGGCAGGTGGGAAAAGGGAAAAGGGAAGGAAGAAGAAGAGAGGGTGAATGAATGGCAGGCAGGTGGGAAAAAAGCAAGAAAAAAGAAGAGAAGAGGGTAGGAAGAAAGGAAGAGGGGAAGAATGAATGGCAGGCAGGTGGTAAAAAAAAGCAAGAAAGGAAGAGGGTAGGGAAAGAGAGAGAGGTGAATGAATGGCAGGCAGGTGGGAAAAAGCAAGAAAGGGAAGAGGGTAGGAAGAAGAGAGAAGAGGGTGAATGAATGGCAGGCAGGTGGGAAAAAAGAAAGAAAAGGAAGAGGGAGGAATTAGGAAAAGAAGAGAGAGGTGAATGAATGGACCACAAGGTGGGAAAAAGGAGAAAAGGGAAAAGGGAATGGAAGGTGGGAAGAGAGAAGAAGAGAGAGGTGAATGAATGGCAGGCAGTGGAAAAGCAAGAAAAGGAAGAGGGTAGGAAGAAGAGAGGGTGAATGAATGGCAGGCAGGTGAAAAAAAAAAGAAAAGGAAGAGGGTGGGAAAAGGAATGGAAGAGGAGGGTGAATGAATGGCAGGCAGGTGGGAAAAAGCAAGAAAGGGTAGGAAGAAGAGAGAGGGTGAATGAATGGCAGGCAGGTGGGAAAAAGCAAGAAAGGGTAGGAAGAAGAGAGAGGGTGAATGAATGGCAGGCAGGTGGGGGCAAGAAAAAAAGGGTAGGGAAGAAGAGAGGGGAATGAATGACAGGCAGGTGGGAAAAAGCAAGAAAAGGGAAGAAGAAGAGAGAGGTGAATGAATGGCAGGCAGGTGGGCAAGAAAAGCAAGAAAGAATGAATGGCAGGCAGGAAGGAAAAGAAGATAGGGGTGAATGAATGGCAGGCAGGTGGGAAAAAAGCAAGAAACGGAAGAGGGTAGGAAGAAGAAGAGAGATTGAATGGGAATTGCAGGCAGGTGGGAAGAAAAAGCAAAAAAAAAAGAAAAAAGGTAGGAAGAAGAGAGAGGGTGAATGAATGGCAGGCAGGTGGGAAAAAGCAAGAAAAGGAAGAGGGTAGGAAGAAGAGAGAGGGTGAATGAATGGCAGGCAGGTGGGAAAAAGCAAGAAAGGGAAGAGGGTAGGAAGAAGAGAGAGTGGATGAATGGCAGGCAGAAGAAGGGAAAAAAGCAAGAAAGGGAAAAAGGGGGAATGAATAGGAAGAAGAGAGAGGGTGAATGAGATGGACAGGCAGGTGGGTGGGGAAAAAGGGAAAAGGGTAGGAAGAAGAGAGGAGGGTGAATGAATAGCAGGCAGGTGGGGAAAAAGCAAAGAAAGGGTAGGAAAAAAGAAGAAAGGGTAGGTGAAGAGAATGAATGCAGGCAGGAATGGCAGGGGGGAAAAAGCAAAGAAAAGAAGAAGAGGGAATGGCAGGCAGCAGGAAAAAAGAAAAGGAAGAGGGGAAGAAGAGAGGGTGAATGAATGGCAGGCAGGTGGGAAAAAGCAAGAAAGGGTAGGAAGAAGAGAGAGGGTGAATGAATGGCAGGCAGGTGGGAAAAAGCAAGAAAAGGAAGAGGGTAGGAAGAAGAGAGAGGGTGAATGAATGGCAGGCAGGTGGGAAAAAGCAAGAAAAGGAAGAGGGGTGAAGGAAGAAGAGAGAGGGTGAGGGTGAATGAATGGCAGGCAGATGGGAAAAAAGCAAGAAAGGGAAGAGGGAATGGCAGGCAGAAAAAGAGAGAGATTGAATGAAAGGCAGGCAGGTGGGAAAAAGCAAAAGAAAGGAAAAGGTAGGAAGAAGAGATAGAGTGAATGATTTGGCAGGCAGGTGGGAAAAAAAGCAAGAAAGGGAAAAGGGGTAGGAAGAAAAAAGAGAGGGGGTGAATGAATGGCAGGCAGGTGGGGAAAAAGGGAAGAAGAAAGGGAAAAAGGTTAGGAAGAGGAAGAGAGAGGGTGAATGTGAATGAAAAGGAAATAGGGAAGGAGAGGGGTGAAATGAATGGCAGGCAGGGAAAAAAAGCAAGAAAAAAGGGAAAAAGGGTAGGAAGAAAGAGAGGGAGAGGTGAATGAATGGCAGGCAGGTGGGAAAAATGGCAGGCAGGGAAAAAGGGAAGAAAGGGAAAAAGGGAATGGCAGGAGGTGGGAAAAAGCAAGAAAGAAAAGGGGAATGATTGGCATGGCAGGCAGGTGGGAAAAAGCAAGAAAGGGGTAGGAAAAGAAATGAATGGCAAGAAAGGGAAAAGAGAGAGGGAAATGAATGGCAGGCAGAAAGAGAAAAGGAAGAGGGTGAAATGAATGAATGGCAGGTGGGAAAAAGTAGGGAAGAAAAGGGAAGAGCATTGGGAAGAGGGAGGAGAGTGGATGAAAGTCAGACAGGTGGGAAAAAAAAAAAAAGTAGGAAGAAGAAAAGGAATGAAGGGTAGGAAAAGAAGAGAAGAGAGAGGTGAATGAATGGCAGGCAGATGGGAAAAAACAAAGAAAGGAAAGGGGGAAGAGGGAGGGAGGAAGAAGAGAGATTGAATGAAAGGAAAAGGCAGATGGATGATGGGAAAAAGAAAGAAATGGGAGAGAGGTGAATGAATGGGTGTGGAAAAAAAAAAACAAAGAAGAAGAAAAGAAGAAGGTAGGAAAAGAAGAGAGAGGGTAAATGAATGGCAGGCAGGTGGGGAAAAAAGCAAGAATGGGAAGAGGGTGGGAAAAAGGAAGAAGAGAGAGAGAGGGTGAATGAATGGCAGGTGGGGCAGGGTGGGCAAAAAAGCAGGTGGGGAAAAGCAAGAAAAGGAAAGAGGGTGCAGGGAAAAGGAAGAAGAGAGAGATTGAATGAATGGCAGGCAGATGGGGAAAAATCAAGAAAGGGAAGAGGGTTGGAAGAAGAGAGAGAATGAATGAATGGCAGGCAGATGGGAAAAAGCAAGAAAGGCAAGAGGGTAGGAAGAAGAGAGAGAGTGAATGAAAGGCAGGCAGGAGGGAAAAAGCAAGAAAGGCAAGAGGGTAGGAAGAAGAGAGAGATTGAATGAATGGCAGGCAGATGGGAAAAATCAAGAAAGGGAAAAGGGTAGGAAGAAGAGAGAGAGAGAGTGAATGAATGGCAGGCAGGTGGGAAAAAGCAAGAATGGGAAGAGGGTAAGGAAGGAAGAAGAGAGAGAGAGAGTGAATGAATGGCAGGCAGGTGGGAAAAGCAAGAAAAGGAAGAAAAGTGTAGGAAGAAGAAGAGAGAGATTGAAATGAATGGCAGGCAGATGGGAAAAAAAGCAAGAAAGGCAAGAGGGTAGGAAGAAGAGAGAGAGGAATGAAAGGCAGGCAGGTGGGAAAAAAGCAAGAAAGGCAAGAGGGGGTAGGTGGTGGGGGAAGAAGAAGAGAGATTGAATGAATGGCAGGCAGATGGGAAAAAGCAAGAAAGGCATGAGGGCAGGGAAAAAAGAGAGAGAAGAATGAAAGGCAGGCAGGTGGGGGGAAAAAAAAAGCAAAAAAGGAAAAGGGTAGGAAGAAGAGAAGAGAGAGAGAGAGTGAATGAATGGCAGGCAGGTGGGAAAAAGCAAGAATGGGAAGAGGGTAGGAAGAAGAGAGAGAGAGAGTGAATGAATGGCAGGCAGGTGGGAAAAAGCAAGAAAAGGAAGAGTGTAGGAAGAAGAGAGAGATTGAATGAATGGCAGGCAGATGGGAAAAATCAAGAAAGGGAAGAGGGTTGGAAGAAGAGAGAGAGTGAATGAATGGCAGGCAGATGGGAAAAAGCAAGAAAAGGAAGAGGGTAGGAAGAAGAGAGAGGGTGAATGAATGGCAGGCAGATGGGAAAAAGCAAGAAAGGCAAGAGGGTAGGAAGAAGAGAGAGAGTGAATGAAAGGCAGACAGGTGGGAAAAGCAAGAAAGGCAAGAGGGTAGGAAGAAGAGAGAGATTGAATGAATGGAATGGGAAAAGCAAGAAAGGCAGGTGGGAAAAAAGCAAGAAAGGGAAAAGGGTAGGAAGAAGGAAGAGAGAGAGAATGAATGAATGGCAGGCAGTGGGGGAAAAAGTAAGAATGGGAAGAGGGTAGGAAGAAGAGAGAGAGTGAATGAATGGCAGGCAGGTGGGAAAAAGCAAGAAAGGGAAAAGGGTAGGAAGAAGAGAGAGGGTGAATGAATGGCAGGCAGGTGGGAAAAAGCAAGAAAGGGAAAAGGGTAGGAAGAAGAGAGAGGGTGAATGAATGGCAGGCAGGTGGGAAAAAGCAAGAAAGGGAAAAGGGTAGGAAGAAGAGAGAGAGTGAATGATTGGCAGGCAGGTGGGAAAAAGCAAGAAAGGGAAAAGGGTAGGAAGAAGAGAAAGGGTGAATGAATGCCAGGCAGGTGGGAAAAAGCAAGAAAGGGAAAAGGGTAGGAAGAAGAGAGAGGGTGAATGAATGGCAGGCAGATGGGAAAAAGCAAGAAAGGCAAGAGGGTAGGAAGAAGAGAGAGAGTGAATGAAAGGCAGGCAGGTGGGAAAAAGCAAGAAAGGCAAGAGGGTAGGAAGAAGAGAAAGAGAGAAGAATGAAAGGCAGGCAGGCAGGTGGAAAAAAAGCAAGAAAGGCAAGAGGGTAGGAAGAAGAGAGAGATTGAATGAATGGCAGGCAGATGGGAAAAATCAAGAAAGGGAAGAGGGTTGGAAGAAGAGAGAGGAATGAATGGCAGGCAGATGGGAAAAAAGCAAGAAAGGCAAGAGGGTAGGAAGAAGAGAGAGAGTGAATGAAAGGCAGGCAGGTGGGAAAAAGCAAGAAAGGCAAGAGGGTAGGAAGAAGAGAGAGGGTGAATGAATGGCAGGCAGATGGGAAAAAGCAAGAAAGGGAAGAGGGTTGGAAGAAAAGAGAGAATGAATGAAAGATGTGCAGATGATAGGTGGGAGAACACTATTTACATTATTCAGACTATTGTTCTCATCTTTGTCACCATATTTATTACAACATTTTGGCCGTTATACACTCTGGCCTTCTTCAGATGGTCGGAATGTCAAACTGAGCCCTTTATTTCACTCACTGGGGTAGACTGTTCTCGTTCCATGTGCCATGTCTAATGGATATCAGTTATCTCCTGTTAATTCCCCTCTCCAAGTTCTCTACTACCATAACCAGGTATTGAAATCACACTCTTTGGGTCCTGTCACTGGATCTAACTAATGCCTTTATCCACTGTCACATGTGTTCTTAATGAAAAAGGGTGGATGGTCGAGAGAAAGAGCCAATGGAAGAGGTTGCATGGAAGGTTGAGAGAAAGAGGAAATAGATGAATGGTGGCAAGGTTGAGAGTAAGAGTGAATGGAAGAAGGGGTGAGAGAAAAGGGAATGGAAGAAATTTGTGGTAGGCAGTGAGAGAAAGTGTGAATGGACGAAATGTGTGGCAGGAAAATACGAAAGGAAGAATGGCTGCATGGATGCAAACAGAAAGAATTAATAGAAGAATGGCTGTGTAGAAGGGTGAGAGATAGAGGGAATGGAAGAGAAGTTGTGTGGATGTGTGATATAGCAAATGGAAGAATATTGGTGTGGGAAGCTGAGAGAAAGGTGTCATGGGTAGGTTAGACTAAGAGTGAATGGAAGAAAGGCAATTTGTGTGTGTGTGAGCAAAAGAGCAACTGGAAGAATGGTGGTGTGGGTAGGTGTGTGAAAGAGTGAACAGAAGAAAAATATAGTGGGTGGATGAATGATTAGAAGAAAAGCAGGGAATGGCAAAATGAATGGGAGAAATTGGAGTGCTAAAGAAAGAGTGGGAGTGAATAGAAGAAAGGATTGGCTGAACAATGTGGTAAAAAGTAAGATGAAAATGGTCTGAATTATTCACTGATTTTTAATGACAGTTTCAGATGAAAAGAGTAATACACTATTACGTTGATGCTGTCATGTTAGGTGTTGTCTTCCCTCTAATGAGGCTATTGTGGACTCTTCCACTTACTATAAAGTTAGTAGGAAAAGTAGGCCTCAGAGGAACAGTGATAGACTGGACACTGGTCAACCGACACACACTCTCAAGTTGTGTAACACACTTCTGTTGTATTTACTGTTCAATATAGTATTTATCTGCAACCTCTTGTTTTGTTATTCCTTAACCAATTACTTGGTCACAACATTAGGGAAGGCTTATTTTCCAATCTGCAGCCTCTTTCACAAAAGACAACACTCTCGTCTATTAGTAACCTGTTGTTATTTCCATGGCAAATATTAAGATCGGTCTCATTCTTTTGATCCACCAGTTCAGAGCTTTACAACTAAGACATACTAGGCTCTATCCACAGGGCTGAATCATTCTCATTTCCTTCTTATTCAAAAGAAGAATGCTTTTCACCAAGAACTGTTACTTTATGGAACAGACTCCTGCATAGATGCCTTTCCTGAACGATACAATCTTCAAAGGTCAGTTCTTATCTATTGATCTTTACTTTCCAATACTTTCTTCTTTCACTCATATCAGACCTCATTCATCAAAGCCATTTTAACAGTAAGTCTCTCTAGCATGAGTTAGAACACAGAAGACTGATATTTAGAGAAATTAAACTACAAGATAAAGGGAAAAAATATCATCATCTACATTGGTTCGCATATGATCACCAAAGTTAAGAAACATTGAGCCTGGTCAGTACCTAGATAGGTAACCACTTGGGAATAACAAGTTCTGTAAGCTTAGATATACAGGTGGTATAATGGATAACAGCTCAGAATTGTTAATTGGAGAGAGGAGTTCCAATTCCCATTGGCTTTGTTATATTTACTTATGTGAAAATACTTTTGGAAAAGGTATGATTCCGCCCCTTTTCCCCCAAATATGGGTTAATGAGCAATATTTATATCACTAAACCATTATTATCTCCCCAACAAAAATCGTTACAATCTAAAAGTATTATCTGGTTTTAAATAACTTGCAAAGGGTTGATGATCCATAAAAAAATACAAATCAATCAATCAACATATTTGTAGAAAAATAGACATTGTTTGCAGGTTTTATGATTCATTCAAGTTTTTACCAGAGATGGGAAAAATAATAATTGTTATAACAGGGATAAAATTTTTGTGCAGCATCAGCCTGCGCTAGTTGCTAAAATCAACCTACGACTAAAGCCATGACAAGTAAAGGCCTATCATATAGCTTAGGTCACTGACTGGAAGTGAATATGTTAGTCCTAAATTACTACTAACTTATAATTATTGAGAAAATTCTTAGGAAGAGATTTGTTAGTAATATTTTCTTTTAATCATTTCACTGCAAGCAAGGCAATAAAGCCACTAGGATGCAAGGGGTTAATGAGTGTTAGAGAATATGAGAAAAAAAAACACTATTATGGAAAGAGAACAATAAAAGAACAAGAATTAAAGAGACAGATAATGATTGACATTACATTTAAATTTTTGAACATCAAACTTGACTGGGAAGTGAGAAGTGGAATAGAAGAAACTGTTAGCATAGAACTTATAATTACATCCAGCCATTTCAACTGTAAAATGAGGAGACCTAACTGCCAATCTAGTCCTGCACTTAAATTCATTAAGTCTAGCTACCATAGAGGAAAGTTCATCAGAACAATTACAATGAAAGTATTTATAGAAAAGGCACAAGGAAGCTACATTATAATGGTGGGAAAGTGACTGAAACTAAGATGCCAGGTCAGGATTAATAACATTGCTGATTCTTTTGATTTTATCAAGACTCTATAAATATATAGTAGGAGCACTAGACCATATGTGATTGCAATATTCAAAGCAAGGATGAATGGTAGAATTATAAATATATAAGGTTCTGGCAAGAAAAATTGTCTAGAATGACACAAGGAACTAACTTTCCTAGAAGCAGACCTAGCAATTGATTCAATATAATCATTCCATCTCATGTCAATGGAAAGCATTAATCTGAGAAGGTATAATGCATTACTCTCCTGGAGGTTAGCATCTGCAATGCTGATGGAAGATAAAAAGCATTCTCTCAGATGATTAAAAGAGAGCAGTTTGATTTTAAAGGCATTAATATTAACAAGCCATTCCTTGTCCCAGTTAACAGGATGTAGATCTTTTTTGAGATCAGTTGCCAATTTACCTTATTGGACTGCTCAGCTTACTATTAAGACAGGAGTAAATGGTTGTTACATCAACATAAATATTGAGTTGAGAACTGATGCCATCGGAAAGATCATTGACTGAATCAGTTCAAAAATTTGTCCAGAAATACCATAACCTTTCAACTTGTGAAGAAGGCCAATATGCCAAATGTTGTCAAATGCCTTTGAGATATCCAAAGCTTTACAGACTCTTTCTGTAATAATTGTTAACACATCAGCAGTTGATCTAAATATGCAAAAGACATATTGCTTATCTAAAACAAGACCCTGCGAGGTGACATGCTTAACCAATTCAGAGTTAATTAGAGCCTCTAATATTTCACCAAAAAGATGTCAAAGACTAATAGGCTGATAGAAAGATCAGATAATGACAGATGAGGATTTCCAAAAGCAATAAGCAGCCTAGCACTTACTGTACAGTTTAGAGAGAAAAGGAGACAGTTTGGGGTCAGATTTCTTAAAGACTATTGTAGGGACACCATCAAGTCCACATACTTTAACATAGTTTAGAGATGATAGCAGAAACAATGGAAGGACTTACATGTATATAACTGAATAGGGACACAATTCTAAGTGGAAAGTCAAGCAAAAATACTCCAGATGAATCAAGAGTAAAATTTTAGGAGAATTTCCAAGAAAAAACATTTTGCTTTATAAATAGAGGATGTTAACATCATAAATTGATTGAAGAGAGAAGGGATAGAAGATTTACTCTTATTCAAGACACTGTTACATAGTCACAGTAGTTGATAGGAATCCCATCAATGACTATCAGAACTTTTTTCAATCAATTCCAAGGTGCCAACCAAAACTGGAATTATTGATGTCTTCGTATCACATTTTTGAGATTTCTAATTCAAGATCCTTGTATTTTAATAGTTTTTTTTTTTAAAGATTTTCAAAGCTACATTACAGTTTCTGTCATATCAATAAGAAAAAACATTCTGCTTTTGTGGTATTATTATTATTATTATTATTATTATTATTTTATTGAGCAGAAAGAAGATGAAATGTCAGCCAGAAAGTGATTTCAACTTTTACAAAAAAATTTTCATCAATGAAGTATAAAAACACGTGCTCTGATCAAATGAAATAAAAACTATTTACCTTATTAACCACGGGCAAGATCATAAAGTTCACAACCCTTGTGAACTTCATAATACTAGTGCTTTGCCAGGGTTACATAGAATTTTGAATTTAGTGTTATCTTTCTCATAGACTGGTTGCCAACTGAGGCTAGAGAATCTACCCTGATACTTAGATGTAGGGAAGATGGATTCAATTTCTAGATCTACTGCTAGGAAAGTTGGTTCACTGTGTTGTGCTAGACAATTTTTCTTGCCCAAATCTATCTTACATATTTATAAGTCTACTAGTCATCCATATGTTGAATATTGCTGCCACATAGTCTGGTGTTCTACATTTAGAGATCTTTGATAAAATCCAAAGAAGAGTCTGCAATGTTATTGGTCTTGACATGGCATCTCAGGTTCAGTCAGTTTCTCACTGCCATAATGTAGCTTTCTTGTGCCTTTTCTATAAATATTTTCATGGTAACTGTTTGAATGAACTCTTCACTATCTTACCTAGACTTTATGAATTTAAGTGCAGTACTAGATTGGCAGTAAGGTCTCATTATTTTACAGTTGAAATGTCTAGATGTAACTGTAAATTCTTTGCTAACAGTTTCTTTTATCGTACTTCTCACCTATGAAACTGGCTTCTTACTTTCCAGCCAAGTTTGGTCTTTCAAAATTTAAATGTAATGTCAATTGTTATCTACTGTCTTCCTCATTCTTGTTCTTTTTTCGTTCATGCCTCTGAATGGGAGATTGGAACTTTAGAGGAGCATGGAACCACCTCTAAACTACTGTTATTCCCAAGTGATCTGGGGTGGTAGCACCTGTTAGGGTCCTAGATATGGGCAAATAGTGAACTCCCATACAAAAACAACATTACATTTTTATAATAAAATGAGCAATGATACATTTTTATAGCAAAGTGGCAATCAATGCAGCATTAAAAAAATATAAAAATACATTTTCATAGTAAAATAACCACATTTTATGATCTACAGACTATATATCTAAAAGACATACCTTTAATCTAAAGGTATAAAATTGTATTCAAATATTTGTATTTGAAAGCATATAATTATGTACAAAATATTTAGATTTCATTATTAAAAAAAACAGAGGCTGATATGCCACTAAACAAAATCAATCAATCAACCAACTAACCAAGCAAGCTGTTCTTTTATTGTTCTCACTCCTTAATAATATTTCTCCTTTTTTATATTCTTTCACACACTGTAACTCCATGTATCTTAGTGGCTTTATTGCCTTGCTCAGGGGGCAAAGACAGTGGTATCTGTGCAAAAGTGAATGTAATGTACTTGACCAGAATTTGAATTTCTCATTCTGAGCCACTAACATGTTCTCCCAACATTAATAAAATCTATTAAATAAAAAGATTACTATTAAAAAGCAAAATTAATGGCATCTAAAAAGTTGCATTATATCACTCAGTGACCTGAAAAAAGTTTCCCAAGTTGAATACACAAGTATCTACTTTTTAGGATTTTTTCCAAGGTCTACAAAAAAAAAAAAAAAAAAAAAAAAAACCCACCCCACAACCAACAAAAACAACAAATACTTGGAAGCAAATACTTACTGTGCATTTATTTGGTTTTTCTCCTGAATGTACTCTCATGTGTATCAAGAGTTTATACCTGGCATTGAAGGGTTTCAGACGTCGTAGGCAGCCCTGCCAAAAGCAGGTAAAGTCTTCAGCCTTACGCTGGTCGATGTGCATTTTTTCAATATGTCGTACCAGCTCATCTTGTTCGTCAAAAACAGCGTTGCAGTCTATCCACTTACAAACTTGCCTCTTTTCTCCATCTTCAAATGGCTCAGTTTTGACTGAGGCTGGTGACTGGAGGCATGGTGCCACATATGGAAGTCCGGACTGTTGCTTTCTTTTCTGCTCTTGGAGAGCTTGTGCATAAGAAGGGGGTGGACGTATGTGAAGGCCAGAGTTAGTACTTGGATTGGCTTGAGTTGCAATGATAGAGCCTGGTGCACTGCTGACCAAAGGATTGCTGCTAGTGATATTGTTGGCATTTGTGACCGTGTTGTTGTTTGTATTATTGACATTGATGTTACTCGTACTGATGTGGTTCGGGTTACTGTTGTTGTTGTTGTTGACTGTTGCAGTGGAGGAAACTGCAGCACTGCTGTCAGGAAATGCTAGGGCTGACTGTTCAGACTCCAAGAAAGCTATATGCTGGCTGTTGCACATCTGTTCCACGAATGGGATTTGGTCATAAGGGATAACCAACTGGTTTTTCATGAAGGGGTCTTTGCTGTCGCTTGAGGGTAAAAGGTAACTCTCCAGGTTGTTTGGCCCTGTGTGGAAATCAATTTCCCTTTTCATATTCGAGATTGTCCCCTGTGACATGTAATTGAAGTTTCGGCTACCCGAAGAGCCAGATCCTGAATTAGGTGTGCCACAGCTCCGAGCTGATAAGTGTCCAATATATTGTGGGGAGAAACTTGCAGAAGAGATCCTTGAACTACTGAGTGAGCTGGGAGATACTCTAATCAGGGTAGTCAGCTCAACTCCATCAATGCATAATGGAGATGTTGTTTTGCCAGATAGACGGGAACTCATATTGGCTGAATGGCGGGGACTGTTGCTAAACGAGAAAGGTGTGGGCGGGTTTTCTGGCAGACAATATGGAGATAGTGACTTTGAAGTGTCAAAGGTCAAAGGATGGTTGTCATTGCCAGATAAAAAGTTGGTATCTGACAGATCATGGCCACGTAAAGAATTGGGTAACAATTTTTTATTACCATCAATTCGGCATGGGGAAGGCTCAAGAAATGAAGCTTTTTCATTTAGATTGTTATTGGAAACAATACTGTGCATGGATGGACCATTTAATTGGTCCACTGATCCAAAACACATAGTGGAGTGGGAGGGAAGATTTTCTCTCGGACTAGAGCGAATGCTTGAGATTTCACTCGGTGTTGGTGTGTGGGTTTGTAGAATACCATTTCCAGGAAGGTATTGGCAGGAGTTTGCATTGTTAGGGGCTTTATTCAGGGGTTCCAAGCGGACGGTATTAAATCCAGAGCTTTGATTACTTTGCCTAACATTTAATCCAATACACTGAGGTCCATAAGGTCCTTGGTTTCCATCTGAAGAAAAAAACAAAATAGGTTTTAAAATCAATGTTTGCTTGTATTAGGCAGCATCATAAGTAATTTCCATGTTGGGAACAAATTATAATGCCAAATGTATCATCTCAATGATTAATCATATATGACAATTATGAATAAATTTGGAGTACACTAACATTCTTTAGTTTTTCCATGGCAGTGGAAGCATACACGGTGGATTAAAGAATAAATTTCTTAACCCCACTAATGGAGGGATTAAAAGTGAATTCTAACTTTTTTGCCTTTATTATATTTCTTTTGTTGTTAACATTTTTCTTATCTTCTTGTCATATTGTTCTATTGAGTCAAATAATTTCCGTTTTTGGGAAACTGTTGTAATGGTGAATGAATCATCTTAACTGCTAAACATAAATGGTAGTTAAGAATAAATTTGGAGTACACTAACATACCTTAGATTTTGCATGACAGTGGAAGCATACACAGTGGTTTAGCGAACAACTTTCTTTCAGGGATTGATTTGTGACTATATATATATATATATATATATATATATATATATATTATGAATAGGATTCCATTTCTAAATTGATAAAAATCAATATTTTTTTTATTCTGACAATTCTTGTGGGTAGAGGAATGCCTAATAAATGCTAATCCACAATAATTATTCCATGACATTTTTTTTTCCATATTTTACATGAGTGGACCAATCTTTTTAAGTAGTTCTAATAACTGAACACAGTATTTAATACTATTGAGTCCTGTTCATTTTTTTGCTTAATACAGTGTCTGTCGTTATCTTTTCTAGGTTTTAGAGCCTTCTGCACTTTCAATAACTGCTCTACTAATTTAACTCCATTCCAGCTTAGGAAGTGTCCAGAATATTTCTCTATAGATACTATCAATTTATTCATCATGTTTATTAGATTATTCTCTTGTTCCTAACACTTTTATGATTCTACTTAAGTGTTTAATTTTTCATTTCTTCTTTCATTTCCTGTTTTATTAGGTTAAGCCAGAAGTAATTTCCATCTTGGTGTGTTGACTGCATATATGAATGACTGATAAACTTTTCCCCACTCCTCTTTTATAGGCAGAAGTCCACAAATGCTTAGTCAATAAAATAGGTCTGTTTACAATTTGACTTAACTCAGTCCATATTGCTTGTCTGACTTTGCTTTTGTGCATAGATGCCAATTCGTAGTTTGTAAACTTTGCTTTCTTACCTGTAAATTTGCTTTGTGTATATCGTTTGCTTGCTTGATACCATTTCATTTTTGACCTTTTTTCTTTTTATTGCAAACTTTGTTAATTCTGTTTATTGGAGACTTCTGTTATTTTTCATTTGACAATGGCTACTAACTCATCATGGAGAACCAATTGTTATGAAAAATGTAATATCATAACTACTAGTCGGTCATGGTAGTTAAGAATGCATTTACTGCATACAAACATACAACAATGTCCAAAGCAAAAGGCTGTGCATTGAGCTCTATGAAAGAAAGGTAATGTGTGTGATGGGGTAGTTGAGTTTTTATTCATTTAGAGTTCTTGAAAACATAATGAAAATACCCTGCAATCTTTATTACACAGAAGAAATGTTGCTAGCCTCTCGCTGCTCTATTGCTATTCCAGATATTCAGATGAGTTACATTCCTTAATTCCACTAATTCAGACCTTCGAAGCTAGGACCGACCATACTATGTTCATGGTGACAAATCATCCCAATTCTCTTAAGTTCCACTCAAACAATTTCTTTCCCATAACTGTTTGTGGAAGAAAATTCCAAGAGGATGCTTCCCTCACCCCTACAACCTTGGTTTTCTAAAGTCCAGGATCAATTGATATTTATCCTCCATGTCCATATAATTTGCACATAAAATATTTTAAAATAGAACGAACCAAACCCAGTGAATCAAAATATATTATTCTACCTACCAACTCAATTAATCTCAACTACAATTAAAAATAATTTAAGCTTAACATAAAATCTCTTACAACTTTTTCTAAATCAATAAAAGAATTAATACAAAACAAGCTAAAACTAGAAAGAAGAATTTACTCTATCACTTGTAATAATTGTCACAAGGAATGCATAAGCAAAAATAATCACACACATACATATATATATATTACAATGAATCATTCATACAAAAAGTAAATTAGTAAAGTTAATGAGATAAAATGGCGAATTCACTTCACTAACTAAATTTAAAAAATGCATTAACCCACTAACCACTCAATGAATGTTATGATCATTGTTTTTTAAAATTATAAACTGTATTAGGTCTTCCTTAAATATGCAAGTACTTTTGACAGATTCTCTGGTCATCATCAGGCATGGAAACTATTTTCTTTTTTGGTAAAATTCAGGTAGCATCCAAGACAAAAAATATAATGCAAATGGAAATATATTTCTTAAAAATGTGTTATTGATAACAAATAGAAACTTGTGGAGCATGTAGTCACAACACTAAGGTTAATTTTTTGAAAATTTAAGTGAATTTGCCATTTTATATCATTAACTTTACTAATTTACTTTTTGTATTAATGGTTCATTGTAATATAAATTAATCTGAACCACATAATTGATATATATATATATATATGAGTTTAAGATCAAATGTAGATCCAACATTGATAGGAATCCAACAAGATGATAAAATGAAATAAAGAACAAGTAGGAAATGTATCTCAATCTAACATGTTTCACTTTTATTTAAGCTTCGTCAGAAATTGAGATAGAAGTGAAAAAAGCAGACACAGAGTACTGGCATGTTAAGATTTTTGGTTAGTTCTTATTGGTCAGATACATGTCATGTGTATAAATGCAATAAATAATATATAAATATATGTGAGGAACATTTTGGATGTTAAAATGTGTAAGAGTGTATCTAGGTGTATATTGGATGGTAATGTTAATTCATATAGTGTGTGTGTGTGTGTGTGTGTGTGTGTCTGAGGAATGTCTATAGATGTCACCTTCATTTATGTTGGTGAAAATGTAGTGTGTGATATTTGTATTTGGTTGGATTTTTTTTTATATTCTTGTGTATGTCTGATGCCATCATCACCTCTGTGTGGGTCAGTGAGATGCATTAAGATATTGTAATAAAATAAGTAAAGGTTTATTGTAAAAACCAGTACAATAAGAATAAAGGTAACAGTTATGCACAAGGTTGTTGTAAGTCAATCCAGTAGTTAATTCTACTATTGGAAGGTTGGTAGTTCTTGTGTAAGTCTGAGTTGTACTCAACAGATCCCAGCTAGACTCTGTAGTTCGTTGACTTACAAATACTTATAGGTAGTTAATACCTATAGTGTAGTCACTCATGGGGATGACAGGTTATTCTATTACGTCATAAATATAAGTTAGATTCATGAATAATGGATCTGTAGAAAGATGGTGATGTGATGTAATTTTTCAAGTGAGTGTTTATAGTTGGTAGTAATGCTATAAATATATTTTCAATAGAAAAAATCCATCCAAATCCAAAATTATTGTAACATCTTGCTACATTTTTACTAACATAAATGAGGGTGATATCTATAGACATTCTTCAAACTTATACATGAATTAACGTTTCCAGCCTACATACACAGAAACATACAATGTATTTCTTTATATACACACACTTACACTATCACACATTTTAACATCCAAAATGTTCCTCACATATATTTATATATTATTTATTGCATTTATATACATGACATGTATCTGACCAATAAGAACTAACCAAAAATCTTCCAATACCAGTACTCTGTCTTTCTTTGCTTTTTTCATTTCTATCTTGATCTCTGACAAAGCTTTAATAAAAGTGAAACATGTTAGATTGAGATACATTGAAATACTGTATCAAATTCCCTATTTTTTATCCATAATGTTGAATGTGTTAAAATTATTCACCTTTGTAACAAGAAAAATCTCAAGTTGATGTTAAATATTGCTGCAAAACATTGTTTATTTAAGGTGGAATGAGCTATTATGACATATCTCTAATTTGTATTTAGATATATTGTATTTATTTTCAATTTTTCTAGTTGAATCAGTCACCTATATTGCATATGATCCATTATTGTACATAGTTACATTACAATAAAATTTGTATTTTATATGAATACTCCCTTATGAAAATTGAGAATGTGTATGATGTAAAGGGAGGGGTGCATATGGATTCAAGGGAAGGCATGAGACCCTACACCATTCCTGTTATAAAGTGTCTCAATCTATTTGTACAATGTTAACAATATATGATGTTATCCTTTTCTAGTTTTTTTTTTTTATTCTTGAAGTTTTTTAAAATGTTTAAATCCCTTTCTTAATTTAAAAAAAAAAACTTTTAATTTCAAAATTGTTGTCTTTCTGCAGTTCATTTAATATAAACTTGAAGAACTGTTATTAGCATTAATCTTTGTTGACTTTTAGAAACATTTGAATAAAGTGTATAATTTTAATATATGATGAAAAAAAGAAGGAATTTGGTCAGATTTCTCTTGATAAACTCCATGCAAGCCTTACATTATCATTTCAAGAAGACCAGTGTTCCTTAGCAGAGACAATTTTCCCCCAAAACCTTTTGTTGGTTTCAATCTTAAGAATGACTATTTAAAACAACTTCTCCAAATTTATAAACAAATCTTATAAATGCATGCTGAGATTTCTTCCTAATGTAGCAATACAATTTCTTACACATCCTTAGGAGATGAATAGATAGACTCTTTTTCTTTTTAAGTCAGTTTAAT